CCAAGCCTTATGAACCTGTTTTTCTTTCCTTGCTCACCTTTGTCCCAGCGAGACATCATTGGGCAAAATATTTTTCAACTTGAGTTGCTCCAATGTTGGAACGGACACCTGTAAATTTAATCATCAGTTTTAATTTATGTAACATTTTTATATGTTGCCTTAATGTTTTCATATGACAGTAGAAAACCAAAATTTGTAAGTCATCCAAAAGTTGAGAATTGTAATGCCCAACACTTCATTGTGAAAGGAAAATAAAAGTGCTGCAGTAAATGAAAAAAAGAAAGAAACTTTGGATAAAAGTCAGTATATGGGAATTTAAATTGAAATATATAATCTACAATACATCAGTATCATCAACTAATAGAAGATGAATTGTGAAAATATTCACAAAACTTGAGAAGCACTTGATGATGTTGCATGTGTCTTTAATAATCACCTGATTGAGATTGAAATCAGAAAATGTCTGGAAAGGAAAGGTAATCTGAATTAGAACTTGAATATATATGAAGGTGCAGTTTTTTTGGTAACTTTTGGCAGTTTATGTTTGAGAAATTTGTTAGCCATTTTGCTTTTTTTTAATTTTTGCTTTCAAAAACAAATACTGTATCAAATAAATTGGTGAGGTACAGTTTAGAGTTTAGTTTATACTTGTAGGACTCCTTTCATAGTACCCTGGTTTTATCAGTGGTATCAATTGCATAATTTGCAAAATGAAGTACGTAGATGCAGATGTATGTCGTAGTCATGTTGACATTGTTCAATAAATAGATACAACCAGCAGCTATTGCACTCTAGGGATACTAAAAGCATAGGCATATGGTTGATACTGTATATAAAGCATGAAAAGTTAGCATGCTATTGGCACTTATAGAGGATGGAGAAAAGTGAAACGGTTCTTTCTAACTTGCAAAAAAAAAAGTATTTTATTTTATAAGACATATACAGTATTTTGACATAAGTCTTATTCAAGACATTGAAACAGATCACACATTTTTGAAAAAAAAATGCATAAAATGTATACTCGTACAAAAAAATGTTCCAAATATTCCTAGAAAATATAGAAAGAGATTATTGCTAAAACAGATAAAAGGGGCAGGTCACTATTCATTACAAAACATGATAATTAGCATGCAAAGAGCTGAAAAATTGGAGAGGATAACATGAAAGTGACCTCAGCTGAATTAGAGCACTTTCTCCTTCCAAATGCCTTAAAAGGCTCTTTTAAGTAGAGATTTCATAGACTGAATTCAGAATACTCATTATTCAAGGCATGATTTTGAGTGTTAAAACAATGGTTTTCATTACTTTTCTAAGATGAATAACAAACCAAAATAAGACAAAGGTGGGAAATCAGTTTTAGCACAACTGTCATGTCATGGAGCTACATGTAAGGGTTTTACTTAAAAACTACAGTAGATAAGAGCCTAGGAGGAGGGGAAAATAAAAAATAAAACACAGAAGCCAATTGTTCTTTTATAAGTACATCAGTGGGTTTTATTTAAAGAAGGAAAGGATATCCTCACTGTTATCATTATTAATTGTAAACTGGACAGCCAGTTCGTTGTTGTACTCAAGGTATCAAGCTAGAAACTAGGAGACTATGAATTCCTCCAGTAGTCCTTTAGATATGAAGTCAGTTATCTTAAAATCTAGGTAAATAAGAATCTCTTGATTGTCAGATCTGTATGTTGTAGGCAAATAGATGTGAATCAATCACACCATTCAATGATTGCTTCTTCTGAAGATGAAGCGTCTTCACATGGGAATTAATCCAATACATCTTTGCTTGGCTTCCAGATCATTCTCTCTGCTGTGGGCAACTATCAATTTTTATCCAGGATCAACAGATATCCTTCGAATGCCAACATTGGTCTTTCAATGAAGGTTTTAGTACTGATAAATGACCTTGCAATATTATCCAGTTGTCACATATTGTATGCATGTTATATTGAAATTAATCAGTCAAAAAACTGTTCTATCAGTGTGTATAACTTCTGAACTGACTTCTAAAAAGTTGGCAGAAAATTTCAGTCTGTTACAGGAATGTGGGTGTCACCAGCTGCTTAGCAGATGATGGTTCGTCGTGGGATAATAAAATGGCTGTCTCGAATAGTAGTTATACTTGTGTTCCTCTGCTGTGCAGCATCTGTGTTCTACATGTTGACTTGCACTCCAAGGGGTAACCATCAGCTATCTGCATTCCTCAGAGTTGACAGCCCAACAGGAAAAGAGGAATATCAGGCAATCCTACAAAAAGGAGAAGAATATTATTGGGACCATATAAATAGCCTGAAAAAGCAAATTGCTGAGCTGAAAGATAAGCTTCAGGAAAGGAGTGAACCACTGAAGAATATGCAATGTCAAGATACTGACAAACGGAGGGTTAGACAAGACCTAGGAAACTCTGACAAGTCCCAGAAAGCCCTGCTGCAATTCCTCCATTCCCAGATTGACAAAGCAGAAATACATACTGGCATCAAGCTACCAACCGAATATGCTGCACTGCCCTTTGAGAGCTTCACCCAACAAAAAATTTATCAGCTTGAGATGGGACTTTTACGTCATCCTGAAGAGAAGCCTGTGCGCAAGGACAAGAGGAATGAATTGGCAGAAGCTATTGAGTCAGGGCTGGAGATTTTAAATAGGCCAAAGAGTAACAGTAGCATTAATCATCGAATATACTCCATCTCTGATTTCATAGAAGGTGTGTTTTCTGGGAAATCACTTAAAAATAAATGAAGAAATTGTGGGTGGGATATCTTAGATGAAGATAATGTGGCTGCATGTATTTCTATCCTCAAAAGAGTGTTCATAACATTTTGCTAGTATTACATTTTCTAATAAGCCACTGAGAGCAGTAGATAATTTGTAGTAATACATGATTTCCAAATATCTTGAATTTCTTATTTTTCTAAGGAATTCACAAAATAAAAAATTATAAATGCCTACTGCTAAAATTACAGAAATAAAATCAGGAGAATTATATATAAAAATATTTTTACCTCTTTATAAATTCTAGTTAATGATTGCCTTCTCTTTTCTAACAGGCATTCGCCGGACTGAAAGAGATAAAGGCACACTATATGAGTTGATATTCAAAGGAGACAAAGAACATGAATTCAAGCGCATTGTTCTGTTCAGACCATTTGGCCCCATCATGAATGTTGCAAATGAAAATCTCAACATGGCCCACACTCTTATTAATGTCATTGTGCCACTGGCAAAAAGGGTCAGCAAGTTTAAGCAATTTATGCACAATTTCAGGTTGGTATCATTGCTGCTGTACACTTTTATGGCAGATGAGAAGTTGTAGGGCAGTGTACCTAGAATTTGTGTTTCAAAGATTTATTTTGTAATATTAGATTAAAAAAGAATATTAATGTGATATATAATCTGATGTAGGTAAGAGTAGACAACAACATGATAGTGCGTAATTAACCAATATTTTTTTTCTTGTAGCAAACTACATTATTGGTTAACATTTTGGACTTACCGGTAATCTTAGTGTAAAACATTCTCTGTATCGATACGCTTTTTTCCGAATTGTATATTTCTTATGTTGTGTTATTCTATTGTTTATGTTCTCTGCCTCCCAGAGTTAATTGAAACTAGGCAGTGTCTAATTGGAAATAAGAAATAAATAAACCTTCAAGGAGAGACCCTGTGCATTCCAAAGTGCTGTTAGCCAGTTCTTGGTCTGATTCATGTAATGTGATTTGTTTGGTTTGCCTTAACATGTATATGACCTCGGCTCATTGTAATTTGGTTGCCATGATATATGGCTTAGTACAATGTGCCAACCCAGTTGCTGGTGCCTTTTTGAATTATATCTAAATACACCACAGTTTAATACAGTATGTGAAAATGGAGCACATAGGTCTAATTATGGTTTAAAAATTAAAGGGAGAAGTAGGTTTGGCCTCTCACCATTGGGCTTCCACTATACTGGCTTTCTCCATTTGCGGAGCAGACTTCAAGAATCTGTTTAACAATTTGCATTAAGACTGCAGGCATACAGGGGCAGATTTGCAAGGAAAAAAGTAAATATCAGAGTAAATCACAGTTCAAATGCTGAAAATAGTGGTCTGCAGCTACTCAGTGATCTATGCAGACAGATTCACTGTGAGATTTTAAAAGCCCTATTAATATTTCATGAAATGTTTAAACAAATAGATGGTGTGTGTTGCTGAAAAAAATCTGACCAAGAAAATTAAAGTTAAAACATTGATTTTTAGGTTCGACCACATTTTATAGAGAGCCAATATGGTGCAGTGGTTAAAGCAGCGGAATAGAAACCAGGAGATTCTGAATTTTGTCTTTCCTTCAGCACAAAGCCAGCTAGGTGAACTTGGGAAGTCACTCTCTTTCAGCCCTTAGAAGCTGGCAATAGCAAACCACTTCTGAAATCTTGCCAAGAAACTGCAGGACCTTGTTTAGGCACTTGCCAGGATTTAACATAGATTCAAAGGCGCCCACACAAAATTGCTATAAGTTTGAATTTAGCAGTATCAATGTTGGAATATTTTGGCGAGAATAGGTGTTCCAGGTTGCTAATAAATCATTATGGGATCAGAACAGTCAACCTCAAAATGCCTTATATATCTGATTTGTGGGTACAGATAAAGATAAGTCAATGAATGAAGGTAAGGTGCAGTGTGAATATATAAGGAGTTCCAAATTAAAGTTTTAAGAAAATATGCTTATCCTTCACTTGATATTTATTTTAGAGAGGTGGCTATGCGGCAAGATGGACGAATTCACTTGACTGTAGTGTACTTTGGAAGTGAACAAATGAGCAAAGTCAAAGGAATCCTAGAAAACATATCCAAGTGAGAAAAATATTTGACTTAATGTCATTTTTAATTTAGTACCAAAAGAAAATGAAAAGATGGATTTCCTGATTCTACTCTTCTCATTAATGGTTAACATTTTTAAAAACGAAGTGGCAAATCTCAGAATAATCTGAAAGTCCTATTGTTGTTTGGCTGAAAATTTTGCCTTGTAATTTTAATCACCTCTGAACAGAAAAGTACTACTGAACAATCTGTGTGGGCTTAGAAATATCCTTAAACAATACTGGAAATGCTAGAAGCAAAATTCTTCTCAAAATTGTTACTGACAAACCATCATCATTCAGATAATTTATCCTGCACTGAAAAGAATAAAATCTTAATTAGCTTTATTTTCTCCTCTAACATTAATTAGAATCTGCAAAGAACCATATCCCTTCATCTATTTTCAGCAAAATACATTGTCCAGTTAATGTTTTTAATTTAAAAGGTATTATCTCTTTTTTCTTTGTCTTGGAACAGCCACAAGGTGGCAAGCTGTCCTATTGATTTATCTCTGTATTATAGAGCTTCCATTATACCACAGATTATACAACAGATTTTTCAATAAATTCTTAAGCCCATCTACTTTTTCCAGTAATAATGGCATGAGTCCACACTAAACCATTGTTAGATTAGATCTATTGAAATCAACAGGAACAAACAACCTATACAGATTTCACTTGATTGCTCTAAGAAGTCTGGCTCCAATCCCATATTTCAATAGCCAGTTGATTTGATCATTTTTTCCTTCAACTGGATGTTACTGAGGCAATTCAAGAGGAAATTTTGGCAACTAACAGAGCTTGTTGCTTGCTATAAATTAAAATGTGGCATTAAAAACCAGCTAATATATCACGGTAAAGCATTTCTTTTTATTGTATTTATTTATTAAATCAATTTATATAGCTGCGTGTCTCATAAATAAGTGACTTTGGGCAGCATACAATAGAGCTAAATGAAGGCCCAAGCCATTAGATGGAGAATTTTCTTTGCATGTAAGAGTCAGTCATGATAAATGTATTAATCACTAAGACTCTGTTTTTCTTAAAATAAAATAAAAATGTGTACAAATGATAACTAGTGAAAGGCAGATAAAACTTAAATATAATTTTTCTTTACAGATCAGCAAATTTTATAAATTACACATTTATTCAGCTGGATGAAGTGTTCTCCAGGGGGAAAGGTCTGGACGTGGGAGCAAGATTTTGGAAAGGAACCAATGTTGTCCTTTTTTTCTGTGATGTGGATATATATTTCACAACGGAATTCCTGAACACATGTAGATTAAACACACAACCAGGTACAGTCATTCAATCATGATACGATGGACAGAATTTTAATTTGCACCACAAGCAGTTTGTTATTCTTTTTAACATTGAAGATACTTCATCCATATATTCCTTCAGAAGTCTGCCAGCTCCCTCTAGCAAAGCTGTAAATATTGTCTGAAAGCTCAGCTAATTTATCCTGTATACATTTCAAAAAATAGACAATGTATATAGCCATCTTCTGTAATGATCATGGAAAGAATTCTTCCCTATAAATATGATAATCATTGTAATAATGAGGGAGGATGGAAGTCTTTCTGAGTGATTCAGTCACTGAAACAGTTAAAGAAAAATCTGTACCTGCTGATCCAGGTAAATAGGCAAAGATCTGAAATCCATGAACATCAAATTTTGAGATACAATTTGGAAAGTTCCCCTCAGATGATTTTTTTTTTAATCAAACAACTGAGTCCATGTTTCCTTTTTTCTTTGAAACATTTCCTAGGTCTGTCTGAAAACTAAATTAGAAAATAAGCCCAAATCCAGAAAAAAATCCAGCAGGAGCTCCTCCTTTACAATCGAACGATAAATGTAGCAATGTTGTCAAACCATACATTGCAGGAATATCTGAAAAGCTCAGGGGAATTTTCAACACACATGTACAACTCACATGTACACTTTCAACCCAAGAATGCATTAAGGCAGAAGCTTGTCTACCCCAAGGATAGAAAAATCTTGACACAAATTGAGTGTGATGTGATATATGCAATACAATACAGTGAGACATGTGCCATCTCTATATTGATGAAGGAAAAAAACCACTTCACAAGCGCATGGTACAACATAGGAGATCAAACCCATAAGGACAAAATTCAGCAGTCCATTAAAGGTCACTTTTGAATATAGTGAAATCCACATTTTGGATAGGAGGATCATTGGTTTCAAAGAGGAATAAAAGAGGCCATTTATGTTAACATTGAGCAGTCCTCTCTCAACAAAGGGGGAGGAATTAGACACCATTTATCTCCAGTCTACATTGCAAACCTTGTAGCAGTTCCCAGAAGATTCCACAATCAATTGCACTTTAATTCAAGTGACCCTAAGGGCATAGATAAACTCCCAAGTGGCATCAAGAGCTCTCAGAGAGTGCTAACAATGACTGGAAAGAAATACAATCATTCCATCTCCCCCCTCCCCGTGCCCCCAATATCCGGTCAGAACTGATACTTCCATCCCACCACATTCAGACACAATTGTGAGTACCTATCTTTCCATCCCCCCCACCATCACAACTGTTTAAGCTTCTTGGATGAGAAATGAAGTGTTTATTTCTTCCTCAAGGAAAAAACAATCCAGTTAACTTTTGAGAAAGCACCTTTGAGGAAAATCCCAATCCCATAAATCCATTCTGGAAATACAGCAAGCTAAGGCATAATAACACCTAAATATGGATGGAAATTTAATGTTAAGGACTGCGGGGCTGTGGGACTTTGTGTATATATGCATGTGGGAGATCTGCTGCAAAAGCTAGAACCCTCTTTAATTTGTTTCTACATCTACTCATTACTCTGAAATCTACCTTCTTCAAAATATTCAAGAGCAGATTTAGCAGAAAATGACCATATTTTTTCCAACTTTTATTTCTAGGAAAGAAAGTATTCTATCCTGTTCTTTTCAGCCAGTACAACCCAAGTCTAATATATGGACATCGTGATTCCATTCCACCCTTAAAACAACAGCTGGTAGGTAATTGGTTGTTCAACCAAATCCACAGATTGAAAATTCTTTAAAACTCAACAGTATTAGCTGGAGCCTTTTTTTATTCTGAGTTAATAATATAACTGCAAATTTACTTAAGGAATGAGATTGGAATCTCAAACATACGTGTACTTGGGAAAGAGACCTTTTGAATACATTATGCATAAGGCTGCTTTTAAGACAGTCTGGAACAGTGACGTGCAATCAGGGGAGGCAGGGAAGGCACAGCTTTACCACTGTCAATCATAAAAAGGAAAAAAAATGTAAATGGGAAAAGGCGAGTGCTGACGTTAGGCTAGCTAGCTGCTGCCACACTGTGAATGACTAAAAAGCCTCTAAAAATGCCCTCTACTATGAGGCATGAGAACTGCATGCCTCATCTAGTCTGACTTTTGAGGCTCGAGCAGAGTTAAGCGAGGGTTAAAAGCCTAAAAAATCCTGAGGTAGTTGAGGCACGCAGTTCTCCTGCCTTATAGTAGAGCGCATTTTTTAGAGGCTTCAACTCTGTCATTCTGTTTAAAACTGCAGGGTCGCACTCACTCTTCCTCCTCTTTTCTCCATTTCTGATGCCCCCCACCCCACGCTCCCTTTTTTCCTTCAAATTTCCTTTTTTTCTTTAATGCTCAGGCATTCTCTCCTCTCCTGCGACATCCCACTGACTAAAGCACTTTCTTTCACCCACTTGAGCCTAAAGCACTTTCTTTCACCCACCTGAGCTCTGCCGCGGGCAAAAGAAAGTGCTTTAGTCAGCGGGGTGTCGGGGGAGAGGACTGCCTCACCAACCATAAACCTTACCACACGTCACTGGTCTGGAAACTTAGATTTTTTGGAAATGGATCTGCTTAAAGAAGTTTACTGGAAGTTGATAATCCAGATATAATACATCAATTCTATAAGGTAAAGATTGCCCTTAGATATATGTGCTAGTCATTCCTGACTCTAGAGGGCGGTGCTCATCTCCATTTCAAAGCTGAAGAGCTAGTGCTGGCCGAACATGACTCTGTGGTCATGTGGTCAGCATGACTAAACGCCAAAGGCTCAGGGAACACTGTTGCCTTCCCACCAAGGTGGTTCCTATTTTTCTACTTGCTTTTTTACATGCTTCAAACTGTTAGGTTGGCAGAAGCTGGGACAAGTAACAGGAGCTCACTCTATTAAGCCGTGCTAGGGATTCAAACTGCTAAACTGCCAACCTTCTGATCAACGAGCTTAGCGTCTTAGTCACTGAACCATCACGTCCCTTCAATTCTATGCAAGTTTATTTTTATTTGTTCAAATGTAGTGACCACCCAACTACAGTGGATTCTGGGTAACGTGAATATAGAAAAAAAACATACAATATTTTTTAAATAATGCTTGCCCATATGATCTTGCCAGTATTTTAAGATTACTGCCAGCAAATACACTTATTAGCTTCTCTTTAAGGTAAATAATCTAAATTCTAAATCAAAAAGCAGCAGAGACTGGTGGGGTTTTTTTTCCTAGTGATGGCCACCCATTCTTGTTGATTTTGCAGAAGACTTGTCTTAATAGCACCATTTTAAAAATCTTTGGACCATTAATTAGAAATAAATAATTGATATGTTTTATTGGTCATGCAATTATTTTATTGTTTTTTAAAATACTTGTCTTAACAGAGTCTCTATTATTCTATTTTAAAATGATACTGTAATACATGTATACCTTTTACTTCCATATTTATATAATATAGGTTTAACTCAGTGGTTCCCAAAATAGGCAGTACCGGCCCCTGGGGGGCGGTGGGATGATTTAGGGGGGCACAAAGAGGCAAGGGGAGCGGCAGAGGGATGGTAAGGGGACAACACAAAGAGGACATTTTCCCAGCAGCGTCTTGGGCAACTTTCTCTCTTGCCGCGCAAGGAAGGTGGGTTTTGCCTGGAAACTTGCTGTTCCAGCAATCTGGACATTCTCCTAGGAGTGTCTCAGGCACCTTTCTCTCTTGTAGCGCAAGGAAGCGAAGCCAAATTTGTTTATTTAACCTCCCGCTCCAGCTTCCCCCACCCTACTACATTAAGATCCCCACACTTCCCATTTCTACTGGAAACACGCAGGCCATGTGAGTGAACAGGCGTGCGAGGCCCCTCGATGATCTGAAGGGAGCCGGGAGGTGACAAACTGCACCCAGCCGTCATCACTCCCTCACAGTTAAGGATGGGAGCGCCTGAGATGCCGCTGGGAGATTGTCCCCTTCGGATTGCCAGGACAGCAAATTTCAAGGGAAAATGCAACTGCTGGAATCGGTGTGCCTGCAACTTAATGCTCTCCAAGAAGCCTGCATTACGGGAGCAGCAGAAGAGCAGCAAAGGGCGCCACTGCCACCCCTGGTGTCCATCCTCCTCCTCAGGAGCCTCGAGTTGCGGCCGTTTGCATGTCTCTCCCGAGCTTCTCTCGGGAGATGAAATGACAAGCACCCCACTGGCAGATCCTCTGGGTGAAAGGCGAGTGAAGGGTGCAGTGACGGGAGAGGCTGGCCGTCCCCAGCTCTCGAGGAAGCTCTCGAGGAAGGAGGCAGTGATGAGGCCTGGGGCTCGCTTCCCTTCATCCTTCCTCCGGAGCTGCAGGTGGCAGGAAAAATGAGGCTTTGCCAACTGGAAGGTATGTCTGTGAGAGAGGGGGGGAGAGAGGGGGGAGAGAAAGAGTAAGAGAGAATAAAAGGAAGGAAGAGGGGGAGAGAGAGAGAAAAGAGAGAAAGAGAGAGAGAGAAAGAGAAAGAAGGAAAGAAAGTAAGTGGGGGAAACAAGAGACAAGAAAGAAAGAAATAAGGAACAAAGGAAGGAAGAGAGGAAGAGAGGAAGAAAAGAGACACACAAGAAAGAAAGAATGGACAGAAGGAAGAAAAAGAAAGGAAAGAGAGGGAAAGAGATATAAGAAAGAAAGAAGGAAGAAAGATAGAAAGAAAAAGAAAGAGCTTATAATCACAATTGAGCCCAAAATTTTGGTTGCTAAGCAAGAGCATTGTTAAATGAATTTCATCACATTTTACAAGTTGGCCACTCCCACCGGTCACATGACCGCCAAGCCATGCCCACAAAATAGACCACTTTAGATAAAAGACAAAAGTGTTTATTCTACATTTTGGATTTCTTTCAAGAACATCTTTTTGTGTAATCTTAATTATGATATCTTAATGATATCTGTTGCGGTTTTGTGCTTTGTGATAATACCTTACTGAGATTACTTCTTTCAATATCTACACAGGAATTATCATCTACAAAGAACAGTGAAATAGTTACTAAATTTTACTGAGTTTACTAAGTTACTAGTTATTAAGATTCTTGATAAATGACTATCAGACTTTGAAGACCTGATATCACTGGATCATGTTCAACAATTTTGTTGAATTGACATTAACTAAAAAGGTTTTTAAATTGGATTTTGAATAAATATGCAATTAATTGTTACAGTTTTGAATTTTACTGTTACTATCTTCCTTCTGTCATACAAACTGCCCAGTCACATGACCAGCCATGCCCACCAAGCCACAACCACAGAACCGATAGTAAAAAAAATTGAATTCCACCACTGGGTGGGGGGCACTGAGGATCAGTTTGTAGCACCAAGGGGCGGTGGACTGAAAAAGTTTGGGAACTACTGGTTTAACTCATTGTTTAAAAATTAAATAGTATGATATACTACTATTATTATTTTAAATTATAGAAAAGCAGGCTTTTTATTTTTCCCTTCATTCTTTTTTCATTTTAATGAAAATGGTTCTAAGAAAATAAAATCTAACAGATTTGCAGTTATTCATTTACTATCTCTATTATTTATATAACTTAGAAATGTAACAATAAAAAGAGTGTCACTTTGGGTAGGGAGCTTTATACAGGGATAAATAAATACATAATGTTAGATTATATTTGAATACTCTAAAGCTTTATGCTATTTCTTTTTTACATCACATCTTAGATTATAAAAAGGATATGCAATATGCACTAGTTAGGATGCAAAGATTTCTGAGAGTTGAAGTCTGAGAATGATCAGTTAGATGGCCTTGAGTTTAGCTCCAGTGAGTATTATTTCAAATTGTCAAATGCAGCTCACTTCCTTAGACAGAATTTCCCTCCAAAACAATATAGGTGTAATACTGAAGAGGTATGCTTTAATTGCCCGTGTAATTTTTAAGAAATTAAAAAAGAAATCACATTCTGGAACATCTGAAGAAAAAGTGATCTTTTCTATATTTATCTAATGGTGGCAATGCAGAAAAGGATGCCAGAAAACCACTGACATTCATTACAATGCTAAAATCCCGTTATTATTTCTCCAGTAAGAGAGAAAAAAACTGTGAAAAATAATGAGAAAATGTCTCTAGATAAAGCAATTTTCATTTTTATAAATCTTTACTGGCAACACAAGGAGTGTAAAAACTTAAAGAATATGCCTCTCATTGATTAGGAGATCCACTGCAGATTTGCACTGGGCCAAAAATAAGAATTAAATCAAAAGGGATTATTTAATTAAAGCTAAAACATATCTTGTTTTTTCCAGGTTATAAAAAAAGAGGCAGGATTTTGGAGAGACTTTGGGTATGGAATGACTTGTCAATTTCGTTCTGATTACATCAATATTGGTAAGACACTGCTTCTTTTACATATAACTTTTATTGTTTTATCAATGAATAAAATACAAATAAAAATAAGAAATTAAGACAATAGAAAGGGGAAAATAAAATATGGGGTACTGGGAAGAAAGAAAAAGGTGTTGACTTTTGACTCTTTAGCACAGTACAAGATAGCAACATTTCAACCTCAACTTTTTACTTTTGCACATTAGTATATAGCTAGCTTATAACAACAAATCTATTTAACTGGCAAAGTGAAAGTTTCACTTTTTTCATCATAAGCACAAAATCAGAAGTGATATTCAAATAAAAAACATAAATATATTATCCTCTTTGAATAGAACAATCAATTTAACCGTTACTGCTTTATCTTCCTTGCTGGTGAAAGAATATATATATTTCTTTTTGTATTTAATAATCTTTATAAATTGTCACCATTTATATTAACAAAATTCACTGAAATTCTTTCAGATTCTTTAAACTTAAAGGGGAAAATATTTTCCCCTTTTTAAAAGGGAAAATCATCAATTTTTAAACACTAAGTTTTTCTTTAATAAAAATTCTAAAATTAAAACATTCTAATACATCTTTTTTTAACTTCCACTTAGCATACTTTAAAGTTCATTTTCAGACCAATAAAATTCCAACTAACTTCAATTAACTCATTAAATTTAGATTGCTCTCTCCAAGTTACTCTCATAGAATCATATTTTTTCTTGTATACATCCTTTTTAAAGCTCTATGTTTTTTTAAACTAACACATCTTTTTCTTTAACTTTCTCTTAACATAGATATTTTCACACACACTTTCAATAATATTTTACAAACTTGATACTTAAGCATTATATATTAAGGAAAATTCATTTTCAAATTTTAGATTAAGACTCAATTAAAAATATCACACGGATGAAAATCCAGAATACTGTATTTTTTTGAGTATAATACGCACCTCAAAAAGAGGCTGAAAATCTGGGTGTATCTTATACACTGAATACAGCATTTTTTGCCTCCCAAAGCCCCATCCCTTCACCAAAATGGCCATGCATAGCCTTATGGAGGCTTTCAGAGAGCTCCTGGGGGCTGGGGAGGGCAGAAATGAGCAAAAAAACAGGCCCCCAGCCCTCAGCACCACTCTATAGCTTCCAGAAGGCTATGCATGCAATTTTTTTTCAAAAAAACGGACCCGTTTTCACGAAAAACGGGCCGTTTTGGGGAGGTTTGCTGAATGCAAAAACTTTTTTTTTCTTTTTGGAAAGCTCTTTAACTGATTGATGAGAATTTCATTGATCAAGTGCTGTTCCAGCAGAAACAAAGTCTTACGTGCTGCAGATTCCTTCTCCAGCACATGGACAAATGCACCTGGAAACATCTACCTACCTATCTACTCTCTCCCCTTATCTATCTACTATATTTCTCTCTCTAACTCTTTCTATTTCTCTCTCTATCCCTCGACCTACCTACCTACCTACACACACACACACACAGACACACACTCCACCTACCTACCTACCTACTGTATTTCTTTTTCTCTCTCTATTTCTCTCTCTATCCCTTTATCTACCTACCTACCTAACTACTCACTCTCTCTCCCTACCTACCTACTGTATTACTCTCTCTTTCTCCCTCTCTATCTATCTACATACCTACTTTTTAAAAATTTGCCTCTTCAAAACCTTGGTGTGTCTTATACTCCGAAAAATATGATAATTCCAATTCACTTTTTAAGTTTAAGTCATTTCTTGTCTTCATGAAACAAAATCTTTTTCTTTTCTGGAATGTTTATCAAGTAGATATAAACTTCTCTTTTTCTCAAGGATTTCTCAACCTTGTTAATATTCATGAGGAAAAAGTCCGAAACTTTTCCTTTTAAAAGTTGCAAATTTTCTTGGAGCTCTTCTTTCTTTCTTTTTGTTTAATTTTTTTAATTTTTTTATTTACAAATATACAAAATACACACACAGAGAACTTAGATGTACACATTTACACAGTACATTGGAACTTCCTGTTCCTTCTAATAGTAGTTTCAAATCAGTACAATTCTCTTTATGCTATTTCCCCTTCTAATATATTTCATTTGAGTTACACCATTTTTAACCCTCTTATTTTACTCATCTATCTGATATATTGGGTGATTAATGTAATAAGTAATAAGTTTAGACTCTCTTGAGAGAGTGTGTGTGTGTGTTAATTCTCAACATCTATTTTTGGGCTTTTTTGCCTTCTTTCATTGATCCTTGTTTCTTTCCTCAATCCACCTATACCATTTTTCCCATATCTGATAATATTCTGTTTCTTCTTTTCCCTGGATTTCTTTTGTTAATTTGTCCATTTCGGCACAGTCCATAATCTTTCTTATTATTTCACCTTCACTTGGTATCAATTTATTTTTCCATTTCTGAGTGAAGGGAATCCTCACCACCCTAATTATATGTAGAATTAAATACTGGGCTTCCTCTTTCAATTGTGTTGGGAGGCTTCTATTTAAACCATCATAATAAAAATTGGTGTCAGATTTGTATTCTAAAATTAGAATTGACTCCTCTATATTGTCAGCTACTTGTGAAATTGACTCAGTGGTTTGGAAACTTTCTAAACATATTTGCATCTCTGAAGTAGTTTGAGTACTCGTTTTAACATCCTAGGAACATAGCTGTTCTATGAACTGATGGATTTTATTTAAAGATTTTAAATTTTATTTAAAGATTTTGTTTTATTTATTTAAATATTTTATTTAAAGATTTTGCAAATTTATCTCTAAACTTCCTCTTTATTCAGAGTAGCTTTTTTGTAAGTTGCTTAAGAATTGCTAAACAATCAATGTTTACTAAGAGTATAATGTTCCTGTGGTCTCTTCCAGTACTTAATTCAGTTTTTCTGTTGGGTTATTTATTGTTGTTTCAAAGCAAACATTCAAATATGTAATGGAATATTATTTTTTCAGTATGGCAAAAAAACAAGTCCACTTTGATTACTTGTTCTAAATAGTATATTAACAACAACATGAAATTCTTTTGTGTGACTAAAATGTGAGGAAATATGAACTTCTGCTAAATGTGTACACATGGACTAAGAAACCAACAGATATATTTCAAAACAAAATAATGTCCTTATTTGCTTTTAACCTTGAAACAATAAAGAGAGAGATATGGGTGATATTGGGGGCTGACAAAACATGATGGTTTTGTTAATACTGGTAGCCTTCACTCACCAATGGCAATATGGACTTCTGATTCAGTCACTAAGTGGCACAGTCATTAAGCATGATGTCATGTGACTATAACTCACAACTTCCTGCTGACTTCCCCATTGCCTTTGCTTGTCAAAAGCCAACTGCAAAGATCACAAATAACAATCATTAGTGAACTGTAATCCTTGCAGCCATCAATGCAAGCCAATAGCCAAGCACTTGAATTGCATTCAAGTGACCTCATGGATAATGTGCTGGTTGCAACTTTGAAGGCTTGTTTATCAGTGTTATTATAACTTTGAATAGATGCTGAATGAGTGTTTGGAAAGCAAAAACTGCCTGTTCTTGGATTTTAAATCATTGAAATAATTGCAGCAGGCAGAACACAGGCATTCAAACCACAATGGTGCCAAAGTGGTGAAAAATACATTGTGGCAGCATAACACAAGCTCTGTCCTTTCCCACTTTATTGCCACAAAACATACAAGTATGCAAGAGATGGAACTTGTGTTGTGACATTGTAGTGCATATTTCATCTATGCTTGTCTACTCATGAATGCCTCCAGGCAAAATGACTTTCCCAAATCTGAAGTTATTTTCCAATCAAAGCCTACTTCATCTTTCTATTTATTGTAAATGCTGCCATTCTCTCTTTTCTCATTAGGAGGGTTTGATCTTGACATTAAAGGATGGGGAGGAGAAGATGTACAACTGTACCGTAAATACCTTCACAGCAACCTCATGGTTATCAGAACACCAGTCAGGGGACTTTTCCACCTCTGGCATGAAAAGCATTGCTTAGATGAGCTGACACCAGAACAATACAAGATGTGCATCCAGTCTAAAGCTATGAATGAAGCTTCTCATGACCAGCTAGGCCTGCTGGTCTTCCAACGAGAGATTGAAGCTCATCGCCGTAAACAAAAAGCAAACAATAGGAACATATGAAGGCAAAATGGGTCTTTCACAAAGCAAAAATGAAACCTAGATTGGAGTTTAAGCACAGCTTTTAGGAAGAGAAGAAATTCTTTACTTAGATGGATCTTTATAAACTTTTATGTTTGTGATAACCAGTGATAATCATACAAATAGATTTCAACTGGTAGGGCACACTTTTTTTTGGTTTCTCTTACTTTTTCATCTCCAGCCCTGTGGGTTCCCAATTGCCAGAAAAGATTTGGGATTGTATAGAGAGATGAATGGAGAAGGATGCATGCACTTTGCTCAAATGTAACATTTCATCAGTGAGGTAACACTGTTTTTGACAGATGCTTCATATTTTGTTTTCCAATTTCAGTTGATATATGAGTAGATTGTACAAAGTGTTGCACCAAGAAAACTGTTCAAATGAGACTAATGATAATACTTGATCAATTATGGCTATGTGCTATATGCAATGTTAAACCTGAGAGAACAAAATACAATCGGCTTCTATTTTATATTAATGTTTAAAAAGATGAATTGGTGACAAGTAGAATGCTAACATTTAAAATAGATTGATGTATGGAGTCTAAGATTAAAACATCATCTAAAAATTAAAAAAATAAAGAATATATATTTGAGCTGTGAATTGACTGCTCTTGGATTATATAAAGTATTAATTTATTTTATCTCATTTGGTTTTTTATAAGTTTGCTTCTATTTAAATGTAAAATCTTCCTAAAAATACCACATTGTAATACAGAAGATAGACACTTTACAAACTGATTTCACTATTGAAAAATTTACAACCATTTATACCTCTCATTTAACTGTTGTATTGCAAAGAAGTTGCACTATGAATTGCATATATCTAAAAGACATTTGGCTATATTTTTTGGACAAGAATTCATAAACATTGGAAATTGGTAAAACTATTTTAGTATAATGAATAAGAAATACCTTAATGCTCAGGTGAAATGGCCATCAATGATTTATTCGTAACTCTCCACTACTATTCCAGTCATTCCCTGATGTCAGTCATTCATCATGATTTTATGTAATACTATTGATTGTATGTTAAATAAGGCAAATGCAAGGAACTGAAGCACTTGAGAGAGCAAATGGGAAGCAGAAGAATGTTTAAGTTTTCATCTGCCCCCCCCCCAATCTTCTCTGCAATTTACTTTTCCAGTTTTTACTTTTTCTCCCAGATGGATTGGGTTGCTGTAATTTCATTTATAGTCATGTGAAAAATAAAGTACACCTTTTTTGGGTTCTATGGTTTTATATATTAACATAGTAAAAAAAATCATCTGGTCCTTACCAGTTCTTAAAAGTAAATAAATACAATCTCAGATGAACAGCAATACATGACATATTGCTCAATTTCTGTTTATTGTAGGTAGAAACACATCACATCAGTAATTTGAATAACTTTTCCAAGCCATGATTATTTTATCAAGTGCTAGCCAGCAACATATTTCTTTACAAACAGTAAAAACCCAGTATAAAAACAATAACCCATCCACCCATCCCAGCAACAACATACAGTCAGATGAACTACTTAATGGGTTCCATCCCACTCTGTGTTCCTCAGACCCATTGATTTTTCTGGACCTTAAAAAAGAGTGTCAGCATGGGAGCCAATATAATTTCTGCGGGGATGATATTCCAATATAATATCTGATTTTAATATACTTGCTAATTCAGCTTGCATTTTTTACATATTTGAATTTTGGAAAATATGCCTCAAAATGGAACTTCAATGAAATAGACACACAGATGAAAATATAAGTATATTTTCCAGATGTATTTAAATATTACAATCTGCTAATATTGATAGCTAGGAAAATAAGGAATCTTGAGATGTCCAAATTCTGTTTATAAATGCAAACAGCCTTTGACAATATATTAATTCCTCTGCATCTATTAAAACTGCTTTCTTCTTGGTCTAGCTGAGATTATTTTCAAGTGAAGTGAAGCACAATTAGAATAGACAAGGACTGTGCTTGTTCTGTTGCAAAAACATTTATTTGTAACATTTTCAGAGAAAAGGATAAAACGCTAAGGCATTTGTAATGTTTATTATTTTATGCAGTCGCTCTTTCAATATCCATCTGCCTTACTTGAGCATTTGTTGACTTATTTCTGCTGACTATTTACTATGCCTGTCATACACCAGCTTCTTCAAACAAGGAGACTTTGTCCTGGAAACCTTGAATGCAGAGAAAAGGGAGGAAAAGCATATTGTACCCATACTTACAAATTTATATTCATCCATGTTAAAACAAAAATGTATCTGATTCTCCCATGCTCTGCCAGTATGCAAAGACTGGTTTTCTAAAGAACTAGGTCATAGACCTGACAGTGAAGATTTTTGATCCATGCAATGTCTACTATCATTTTTAAAGGAACATATAACAACTCTACAAAACAACTCTGACTATCTAACAATGTTGTTTTACAGAGAATACAGTAAGAAAAAAAGTGAACAGTTGGAAGCTCTGATGCACCATTGTTCTATGATGCACTACGGGCATGTTTATACTCATCATTCATTCCTGATGATGAAAAACAACCTTTCAGGGAATTTGAAGCTATGAAGCTTTTTCTAACTACTTCTGCATTTGGAGTTTTCCTCAACAATTTTATTTATTTCATTTTTATTTATTTAAAGGTAAAGGTTCACTAGATATGTGCTAGTTGTTCCTGACTCTAGGGGGCGGTGCTTATCTCCATTTCAAAGCCAAGTAACCAGCGCTGTCCGAAGACATCTCCGTGGTCATGTGGCTGACATGACTAAAATGCTGAAGGCGCACAGAACACTGGTACCTTCCCACCAAAGGTGGTTCCTGTTTTTTCTATTTGCATGTTTACATGCTTTTGAACTGCTTGGTTGGCAGGGACTAGGACAAGTAACAAGAGCTCACTCCGTTACGCAGCACTAGGGATTTGAACTAAAGTAGAATAAAATATGGATTAAAAATATAAGAATGAAGACGTGACATAAAAGGGACAGAAGTCTGCTTAAAGGAAATGTCATCAGCCTCTAACCACAAGATGTTCTAGCCAACGTCCCTATATCAAAAGTCCAAACCACAAGATTCAGATAAAGTTTGTTAATGACACGTAGTCCATACCTGTAACAAAAGGAGAAGTAAGACCCCATCTCCTTATAAGGCTTTCTCCTCAAGGTAACCAATAAGAAATGAGTTAAGTGTTTCCGTGTTACGCTGCCTTTGAGAATGTATAAGAACGCGTGCTTTGATGATGAAGGTTTTTCAGAATTTGCAACGTTAGCCTTTTTGCTAACTTTGAACCTGGCTGCCTATTAACTTTTTCTGTATCCTGAGAAGTCTAAAGCCTGTCATTTTCTTCAACAGAACCACCGAACTGCCAATCTTTCTGATAGGCAAACTCAGTGTCTTAGCCACTGAGCCACCACATCCCTTTCTTTCTTTATTAATATTAAATGCCACTCATCTTCTGACTTGAGATGACTTTGAGTAGCTTACAATATAGTAAAGTGTAGAGATATAAAATAATTATAAATGTAAATACAAACCTTTCAAGAATTTATTGAGAGATGTCAAATGTCAATGCTTAGGAATAGTTCCTTATAACTTCATTTAACAGCAATTCATGCAGTCAGGTTTCAGTTTGAACAAAGAAAGTTCATTAGCACAATTGCCTGTAATGATAGCTTTATTTTTTTGCTGCTTTCTTTAGGATTTTAATCCCAATTTTTAATTGAATTTAGTTTTTGTTTATCAAACATGTTTGAATAATAATTTTATGGATAAGGAACTATTATACTAATTGAAGGGTTTTGTCTCCATGTCAGCAGCTGCCCATTCCATAAACGTCCTCCATATGGTAAATGATTTTCTGAATATCTGTAGGAGATAACCAGGATAAGCCTGAGGGAGATTGTTGTATCATCAATCTCAAATCCCTTTATGTCCGCAAGAGATCTAAGTCCAACTCACTTTGAATTTCATTCTTATCTACCACCTATTTGCTTTGTCTGTTAATAGTTCAGATTCTTGTAGAGAGCATTAGCTTGCAATAAACCTTTATATTCATGTGAACTGCCTGTACTTCCTGATTTTCCTGCACTTGATAATATCACTCAAAAAGATCAAGATAATCTGGTAACTGTCCTTGTTGTCCACAGGGGTAATGAAGACGTTCCTTCCCCAATGATGTAATGGGCTCATCCTAAAAAAGAAAGGAACCACAGATAAGAATTCACTCTTCTAAAGTTGTATTCCAAAAGATCTGAACTTTTGTAAAATTAGTATTTTATCTTCGATTAATGACTGTTTAGTTATTTACAACTGGCTTCAAAGCATATTAGGTAGCAAAGCAACTTATATTATTACTTGTTTTTTTTTAAATTAAATTGGAGTTTAATTCTGAAATTGTGAAATAGGTTTAGTGAATTATAAGGGTAAATTGTAAAATAGTGAATCACAAAATAATTCCTGATTTCATCAAGACATCGCAAACACTAGCCAATACAGAATCATAGGGCTAGAGAAGACCTTGATTGTCTTCTAGTTCAATTCCTTGCTGAAGGCATGATTCCTTAAATCTTCCTGGACAAATGTTGTCCTATATTTTCTTGAAAGGCTTCAATAATGGAGCACCCTCAACTCTGAGAGGCAGACTATTCCAATGATATGTATTTTTCATAGCTCACATTTCCTCACTTTAAAAATTACTATAGAGATTTTTCAAAACAATATTTCAGAATTGACCCTGTAATGCTGTTTACCAAGCACCAGGAATTCATGGAGCTTAGTGAAGTTAAGGTAAATTGGCATTTTCTCATTTGCTCAATCATTTGGCTATGGATTTACTGACAGTTGCTGACATGTTGCCCTTTTTAGTTTTTCCAGAACGCTCTCATCTCATCTGATATTGTATAGTATTATGCAAGAGCATTGTATGAATGGATAAGTGATCAGAGGACAGACTAAATAGGCATTTTGCCTTCTAACTTGGAATTGGCCTGTAATTGTGTAATGGAAAGAGACATATTTGATTGAAATGAGTGATGATAATTTCAAACCTGTCTTTTAAAGCAATTTTTAGAATTATATGGGGGTACCCTCCGTTTGTACTGTATACATTCTACAGAAACGTCTAATTTTTGTGTAGAATGTGCTGAAAAATAAGAGACTCACCTTGTGAAATTCAACTAGGTCAGCTAATGTTGAATGCTGGAGTTGGTCAACACCAAGGAAACTATATGAATCTCCAGAAGCATCTATCAGAAAATGTTTGCAGCCCTCAGTTGACAAATAGGAGAGAACATAGCCTTTGACTTTTTCACTGACTCGGATGAGAAAGCTTCCAGGTGCCAAACCCTCCAAATGTTCTTCTGCTTTTTTGGTGGTTAAAATACCTGTTCTCAAAACAAAAACAATATAAATAATAGCAATAGCAATAACAGTTAGACTTATATACCGCTTCATAGGGCTTTCAGCCCTCTCTAAGCAGTTTACAGAGTCAGCATATCGCCCCCAACAATCCAGGTCCTCATTTTACCCACCTCGGAAGGATGGAAGGCTGAGTCAACCCTGAGCCGGTGAGATTTGAACCGCTGAACTGCTGAACTGCAGACAGCTGAAGTAGCCTGCAGTGCTGCATTTAACCACTGTGCCACCTTGGCTCATATAAATATATAAATAAGGAAGTACCACATGTGTTACATGGGTAACATGTTCTAAAAAGTCTTTCTATCTGATTGTTTGTCCAGAGTTTTCATTTACTTGACCACTTCCCCAGTTAATACTGCATAGTCTGCTTTTTAAAAAATGTGTTCTGCAGAACCTTAGAGTTCCCTGACAGATTAAAAAGCAAAAAAACCAATAACCCACTTTTCTTAAATACAGGAACACCCACACCATTTTTCAAAGATATGGCAAAAAAGGCAGGACTTGTCAGCTGACATTCGGAAGCCCTGTCTACATAGCAGTTGTCCGTGCTTGTGAGGCAGGAGTGAAATGCTCTGAAGTCTGCTATCAGTTTGCTTTGTGCACATGTGTGAAATGCACACTTTGCGCACATGCACACCGCAGGCACCAAGAAATCTTTTCTGAGTCTGCAAAGGTAAGTAGAACAGCAAGGAGGGGGACCGCTGTGCCGCGTGATTTAGATTCACTAGAAAGAAGGGTTTCCTTCTTTCTAGCGAATATAAATTGCATGGCACAGCTGATCGTCAGAATTTTTTTTAGCATTTTTTACTACCAGTTCGGGTGAACCAGCCTGAAATGGTAGCATTTCACCCCTGTCGTGAGGACTCATTACTCTGCATGTATCCAAGAAGCAGGCAGCAGGGGTTCCAATTTTTTTTACTTCTTTTAACAGCCATAGCTAATACAGGTTGGAAAAAAAAATTGAAAATCCATGTAAATAATCATTACAAGAACCATTCATTACTGCAAAAAACATGTTGCTCTCATCTTAGTGTACTGAAGATATAGGTCTGATTTTCTCATAGTTTCCCCTTTTCCAAGGCTCATGGCTGATCCTGGGCAAGGAATTCTTAAATTATTTATTGTAAAATTATCATCAATAGAGATAGTTCTTGACCTACAACTGTAAATGTAAATGGGACTGGAAATCTGGTCATAAATTGTTACTAAATAATTTTCAGTCATGACTGAAAATAATTTTCTAGCCTTAATTTTTAATGTTAAATAAACAGTGGTCATTAAGCAAACCCATTCATTTCAAATAAGCAAAAATATTGCAAATATTGTGGCCATGTGACTGCAAAATTCCACAACCAGCCATCAAGCATCTGTTCCATGGCCATTGTAACTTTGAATGGTTGTAAATGCTGTAAAAACTTTATAGAAATTAATCCTTATGGTATCTTTTGTATCAAAGAGAATATTGTATTGTAGCTATTGACCCATAACTTATAATTAAAATGGCCAAATCAGATTCAGCCGTGAAATATTTTATTGCAGTATTTGTAATAATATAATTGCAACTAATATTGTAATTGTAAATGAGTAATCTGTAACTTTAAACAAGATTGTTTCTTTTTGGAGATCTAGTTTGAAACTTGTTAAACTATTTCTATTGTATTTATTTTTCCTTATTAAAAAAAAATAACTGGAATTTTAATATAATTTTACAGGACTTTTCTTCCTATTTTAAGAATTGGATTTCAGATAAATGTTTGTTCTACAAATCAAAACTTTCTGATTGGCACTGAAACATCCTGGTTTAGCATACTAAATAGGAGAAATTTAATAGAAATGTTCTTTATTTTGTTGAAACTCTTATCCCCTTACATAAATGTGATATTTCTTATTAGTCTGGTAATTCTCTCAATTCTCCTAACTGCAATCTCTTTCTAGACAAGAAGAAATGAGGCATGATATTCTTGCATCTAATGGAATTGTTCCATGCTTGCAATATTTAGAATCAAATGAATTGCATTTCCAGATAATTGAGTACAAGTTTTAAACCACTCTGTTGCTCTGTATCGGTGGCAAGGAGAAGGAAAATATATGTCTCTGGGTGTAATATACAGTAAGTCTTCATGTTGGGGAAGATGGTGCTCAATTTAGAAAGAAAGAGTATGTCAATAGACATGTGAATGCTCCATCTTACACTGCTCTCAGGCTGAATTCTATACCTTTTGATTGAGATAAGACAATGGCTGTACAGTACCGTGAAACCAAGGTGCTATCTGATCCATAGATTTCTCAAACCCAGCTTGGAGATTGATCTGCTCTTCTCTAAACCATCGAACAATACTCTCCTGAGTAGAACTGGAGATAGATCTTTGTAAGCCCTGTTTTCTGCCATAGCAAAAGAATAGGTGGTTTAAATATTTAGCTTGATATAAGTTCAGTTCTAATGCAGAAGAAAAAAACACGTTAGGAAATGTGCATTAAAAACCTGCTAATCTTTAGCCTAAAATATATTATTGAAAAATAACATTGTACAGGATTAAAAAAATCATAGAAACCAAAAAAGAAAATTAGAAAACCAAAAAAAAAGATACGGGTATGAAAAGGTTGAAAAGTGAAAACAGTAAAAGTCAAAGAAAGAGAAAAGAAAAAGAAATATATAAAGAAGCAAATTCTGATCTCTTTTGCAGCAGTTCCAAACATGATTATTACCATTTCATTTTAATTTATGCTGATTAGTGTACATTTAAAGTGACAATAAAGTTTTCATTCTATTCTATTCATTTAGAATGAATAGAGGTTTATTGTTCCCAGTCCAATTTCATAGAACAATTAGAAAAAGAAGAAATATCATATTCAGCATCTTCTTCAGAGTCATCTTTGGATGTATATCAGAGGTGGCATTCAGCAGGTTCTGACCAGTTCTGGAGAACCGGTAGCACAAATTTTGAGTAGTTCAGAGAACCAGTAAATATCACCTCTGACTGGCCCCGCCCCCATCTATTCTCTGCCTCCCGAGTCCCAGCTGATCAGAAGGAAATGGGGATTTTGCAATATCCTTCCCCTGGAGTGGGAATTGAGATTTTACAGTATCCTTCCCCTGCCCTGCTAACCAATCCATGCCCACCAAGCCATGCCACGCCCACCAAACCACACCCACAGCACCAGTAATATAAAATTTGAATCCCACCACTTCTGTATATGTCTTTTCAGCAATACAGTGACTCCCCACCCCCACTAATTTACTCACCTCTCTGGTTTCCCATCAGCTATTTTAGCTATAAGGTTTTTAGGCTTTGGTGGAAGAGGTGGAGGGAGTGGCTTTCTTTGCACCTCTTTCTTTAAGGTTTGAGAAACATTAGCTGCTTTGTCGTTGCGGATGCCCTGTAATGAGAGTCTCTTGTAGTCGTCTCGTGCATTTTTGGCAAGGGAGCGTCGTCTTTCATCTGCTACTTTGGACCTCCGTACTGAAATTGAGAAGGAACATTGTTACCCAGTCCTTTTTTTCAAGAACCAGAAGTACCTAATTATGAAATCATGCCCATGAGAGGGAGAAAGCCAGAGAGAATAAACTACATGTAAAATTATTCTGGTACATAAATGAACTTCCATAATGAAAGCAGTTTTGGGACAGCAATTCAGAATCAGCTTTGAACTTGCCTATTGTCATGACATTAGCTCAAATCCCGAGTACAGCCAATCTGTTGTATAGAAGAACTGCTTTGTCTCCTTTCTCTTTCCCCTTTCCTTTTTTTCCCTAAAGCACTACAACTCAGCATAGCTTTTGGGGAGTCTATCCTCCATTGATGGAAACCCTCACCTCCCTTCACCTTTCTCTCATCCTAATACTGTTCTCTAAGTTTTGAGGTTGGCAATGAGTGATGAGAACCACATATCAGCTTCACAATGCTTTTAAGGGATTGGGGAATAGAATGCGCAGTGGACACCTTGAGTGGTGGACATGCCTTCAGTCTGATCAGTGCTACAGCACTGCAACTTGGTATTTGATTTAGTCAACATAGCTCTCCAGATAGGTGGATTCCTTGGAGGGCTAAAAGTGTATAAAATTTGAGGGGAAAGTATTATTCTGTATAGTTGGCCTTGAATATCCTTTCTCCATTCAAAATCATAAGTATGGTCATATAAAAGGGCCAATATTAGTGTGCCGCACAAGATTCTAGCCAGTTACGATCTTCTTTGTCCAGTTTTTGAATTGATTCAGAAGGATAGTGTAAAGTTATTTCTTCTTTCATTCTGGTCTCGGTGATGGTCGACTTCATTGGCATTTCTCTAGTCTGTCAAAGATAGACAACAATTATGGTTTCCTTTAATGTACCAATAATTTCTTCCATGCTAATAATTCACATTTTGACTTCATAAATAGTTGTGGCATTTGATCCTATAAGAAACATATGTTTTGTATGTTGTCATAACTTGGTGATTTAATGAAAACTTAAATTGCAGATCGAAATTAAGGTTACCAGCTCCTCTATCAGTGACATGCAGTCAGGGGAGGCAGAGCCTCACCACTGTCATCATGAAAAGAAAAAAAATGTAAAAGGAAAAAGACTGAACTAGTTGCTGCCAGAGTCACAGTGGATGACTCTGCTTAGTGCTTAACTGTTTAAAAAAGCCTCTAAAAAGCGTCCTCTACAGGAGGAGGCAGGAGAACAGCATGCCTCATCTAGTTTGACTTTAGGTGTTTTATGATCACTCGAGCAGAGTTAAGCAAGGGTTAAGAGCCTAAAAATTCCTGATGTGGGTGAGGCATGTCGTTCTCCTCCCTCCTCCTGTAGAGGGTGCTTTTTAATAGGCTTTTTTAAACAGATAAGCAGAGTGATCCACGGTCCAAGCCACTTTAAGAGCCAATGTCTCCATTCAATGATAGCTATTGCTTTTTCTTGTCTGAGCTGAAAAAGCCTAGCAGATAGTGTATGTTAATCAATAATACTAGAAATTAGTATTGTGTTTGAAAAAATGTGATTGCTGATTCAAATATATCTGTCTTCCCTAATTGGACCTTAGATGTTTTGCCAAGAAAATGTACCAAGAGAGTCACTATTTAAAATAGCTTTTTCACAGCCCGTCACAATTTTGGCAACACCATTTGTTGCCCATTTCCATCACAGACAATAAACTAATAAGATCATTTGGAAATGAAAGTTTGAGTATTTACATGAGTGCATGCTGGGTTATTTTTTAACTGCATTTGAGTTTGATTGCTTACAGAAAATGGCATGAACGTGAAGACAAAAGTTTTTTTGCATTATATATGCCCATAGAGATCTGTTTTGTTTCCTTACCTGCTGAAAATTAGATTTGCTTGAATTAGAGCAATAGTCTACCAATATCTGCTCCACATCTTTTAGTTTAGTCACAGGAGCCTAGATCAATGAGATAGGAATAAAGGAATGGCAATCTTCTTGTATTTATTTCCAGTTTATCATAGAGATGTGAAAAAAGAGAAAGAACTCACCATCATCTTGATTATTTTCCATACTTTTAGCATTAACATAAATAGACAATGATGGCCACAAGCTTTATGAGTCAATATTCTTTCTAATTCTTTTCAATAAATGGGTTTTCAGTGAAATTACTTTCAGCAACAGTCCCATTTTAACAGGATTTTTTGTTGATTGAAAATACCTTTGAACTGAAGAACCTTTGGAACAAAATTATAGTGGGAGATTTCTTCAGTTCTGTTTATTGACTTCAGCAAAATATTTCCCAACCATTCCTCCAACTTATTTACACTTTGCCCTACCCAAATATTTTTATGTGTTTCTTATCAAGTCACAGATGGAGTATTCTCAAAAATGTAGAACCTGATCTGTTGTGAAATAGCCTTTCATTCCTCTTCTATTTTGACTACAGGCAGTGGAGGGAGAGATTTTCCATTTGCTTCCTCCACCCATCTACTTTTTACTGTTCACTTTCACAACTATAACCACCCACAGTTTTTATTTTGGAATTGACATCATTGAGGAGATGTAGCTGCAAAATAAGGCCTAATTGGTTACACAAATAGAAAGCTAATGAAACCTGGAGTCAGCAGGAAGGGATGATTAAAACTGGGCTCAGATTCTACTTGGAAATATATTACCCACACAAACCAACTTGCAATCCAACACAACTGTGGAGGCATGCAGGCAATTTGCAGACTTGAAATGCATATAATTATTGAAAACAGGTGCTAATATACTAATGCTAAAATACATGTGACTAGAGACCACATTATATATACAGTATATATCAAATTTGGGGGGGGGGGGTAAGAGAGTAAAATCCTTTGGTAGATCCTGCTTGATTCAAATGCCTCCCTACTTGGCAATTCATTGCCTAATTTTGAGCCAATTACTATCTCTCAGGCTCATCCCTCACAGAATTTTGTGAAACGGAGAAGAGAAATTATACGCTGCCCTGAATTCTTTGCAATATAGGTAAGCTAAAAAAGACAAGAAATAAATTAATATCTAAGTATTCAAAAGCAAACCACTCATATTCACCCAGAATAAAAGAAGTAACATTGCATGTAATATGCTAATGTTAAATTTGCAAACCTCATTTCTGATCACTTTTGGGACTAGTTCATTAACTACTTCTAAGCTATTAGAGACCTTCATATCGACAAATTTGAAAATGCTGCTTGAACCTGACTTCAATCCTGAATAAAAGACAATTTTAAGCATAATCTTAAAAATTTAAAGAAACTGAAATAAATAAAGGTAAATGTTTCCCGCTCCAGTCATATCCGATTCTACAGAGTAGTGCTCATCTCTGTTTCTTAGCCAAGGGAGCAAGTGTTGTCCAAAGATACTTCTGTGCATATGTGGCCAGCATAATTATATGCCAAGGGGCAAAGAACATTGTCACGTTCCCATTGAAATGGTAACTATCTACTTGCATTTGCATGCTTTTAATTTGCTAGGTGGGCAGGAGCTGGGGTAAGAAAAAGAGCTCCTCCCTCTCTCCCTTCCTCCCTCCCTTCCTCCCTCTCTGTCTCTCTCTCAACAAAATTCAACAAGAACAAAGAAATGAGCTTGCTTCACCATTCTTATGACCATAAGTGAAGTAAGTTCTAAGAAAAACTCTCCCCTGTGCTCAGTTACTCTTATTCTTGTTGCTCGCTTTCCCCAACCTTCCAGTTTAGCCTACAGCCTTGGGATCACCTGGAAAGGATCATTCTAGTTACTAAAAAGACCCGACCGTAGTTAGCTTTTTAAAAATCAGCTCTGGCTAGTTAGACATTGCCAGCTTTTTTGACTACAGAAAGGATCATGGAAACATTTTGCACTGTCAGATGCTGTTAAGATACTATTCTTCTCAATATTGAGTTATTATGTTCCTTAAGAACTTACTGTACAGTAAACTTAGTTTGCAGTTTGTGACAGAAAAATACCAAAAAAAATGTAACACATTTAAAATAAAGGTGTTTTTTTTTAAAGTTTGCAGGAGATTCCTCTATTTTATACTCCCTGTTGATAAACCATTGTGGTTATAACCATTATAAAGCTGCATAAGGCTCACTAACAGCTTTTTTCCAGCGTTTGCTTCCAGTTCTTGATTACCTTCTTTAATCAGCAAAGGGAATAAATGTTCCTCTTATCTACCAGTCCAGGTGACCTAGGAACTAGCCTCCTTGGCAAATATGCCTTTGTTTTAACCATTAACATATAGGTAGATTAGTTAGTGATTTCACTGAAAATCTACTCTTGACAAATTCCTGCTTTTATCTAAAAGGTAACCTGTCTACTCTAAACTCTAATGAATTACTATTCAATATAAGTAAAAATAAGTAATAAAAATGTTTGACAGAAAGACTGTATCTAATTTTATGTATTAAATGGTTCTAGGATAGAGGAGAAAAATAACAGTAATGAGGGAAATGTTCCTCCCCAATTATTTTAGCCCCCCTTTTAGTACAATCTGGTGCAGCCATGAGGTGGGGGTGGAAGTAAAACTAAAATACAGGGATGTAGTACCTATAGTCTCAATCATGCAGGTCCATTCAAAAATATCCTTTTCATTGCAAATGTTGGAACAGATTTAATATTCAAATAATTCTGCTGAGCAACGATTTTGGGAAATTAGTTTAGTCCCCCCCCCCCAAAAAAAAATTGAGCTCAATAAAATGGACTGGTTATCTTGAAGGCTTTGCATGACAATCTTCCTCTTCTGACCCAATTAAGTATAGAAGGTAAAAGTTCCACTTGCACATATGTGCTAGTCGTTCCCAACACTAGGGGGAATGCTCATCTCCATTTCAAAGCCAAAGAGCCAGCACTGCCCAAAGATGTCTCCATGGTCATGTGGTGGCTGGCATAACTAATTGCAAAAGGCGCATGGAACACAGTTACCTTCCCCCAAAGGCTGTCCCTATTTTGCTACTTTCATTTTTACATGCTTTTAAACTGCTAGGTTAGCAGAAGCTGGGACAAGTAACGGGAGCTCACTCTGTTACGCAGCACTAGGGATTCAAACCACCGAACTGCTGACCTTTTTGATCAACAAGCTCAGCATCTTAGCTACTGAGCCACCGTGTCCCATCAATTAAGTATACAGTGCAAATAAAACCATTTTATGTCATTCGTTGGCATATAAATTCAAATTATTATTTTCAGAATGCATAATATTACACTTGCTGCAGCAATTTTTGTTACAACTGTGTCATCTATAATGGGAGGAGGCATAGGTTGAGCATTATGGCACAAATAGGCTTTTTAGGTTTGCAGCTACTGTTAACAAGCAAGTTAACCTTCATTAGTGTTGATTCACTTGAATGCTCACTGAAACTTCAAGTAACTCATAAAAGCATCATTCACTGGATTCACAATGGAATTCTTTCCCTCTCAGCTAGCTTTCATTTTAATGTTTGAAAGGTAAGAAACAACATTACCTGGCTACATTCTAGATTTCTGCGATTTCCAACAGCTGGTGTGTTTTCCACTCTTTTTGGTACAGCTCTTTGGACAAATTCTTTATTGTCTTGCAGTATTTCAAATCCAGGTTGGAGCTCTGATAGAAACCGTGGAGGAGATGATACTGAACTCTCTGTAGCTTTTTCCATTGGTGTTCTTATATAAAATAAGAAAAAAAAATAATTTTTCAAAGAAACAGAAGCTTTTTCAAACAATTTTGTTTTTTACCTGCATATGCAGTAAATACAGGAAGCTATAATAGGAGTTAAAGTAAAAAAAGGCAGCTATATCTCTACCTTCATAACCTAAATATGGATGTTACATAGTACTGAAGTGATTCACTGGTAGGCTGGTTCTTAAATTATCCAAGACACATAAATCATTGTTAATATTTTCCCACATTTAAATTATATGAAAGATTCATATCAATATAACTGAAATTGCTTGTTTCTTTCCTTTCTCCTTCTCTCTGATCAGTGGCACTTCTCTGATATAGAAACTATTGATAGCCTTGCTACAAAAATTACAGAATTGGATATTGGAGAAAAAAACTGAACGTCCTCTTCCCCCAGCATCTGCATTTGGACTGAAATGTCAATCACTAGCAGCTGCCTAATTGCAGTTATGAAGACTAATGGGAGAGTTCTAACACAGAACTTCTACCTGCCTCAAGGACTTGTCAACAACCCTGCCTAAATATTATTTCACTAAATAATGAACTCCAATTGTATTTAATCACATATAGGTTTATTCTTCCTGTCCTGAATGTTTCACAGCTGAAACTAAGGATGAATGGTGCCCTCTTGTCTTCCTTCTTTCATTCCACATTCTTTAAGGTTCTTGTCAGTCTGCTGTGTAGAGACTTCATTTAACTTATAAAATGCTACCCTACAAGCTATTTCCTCTGTTCTTCATCCGATCTTGCAGCACTTAAGAGGAAAGAAATAGTCATATGCAAATGATATTTGTTGACTTTAGTTCAGCATTTGATACGATAATTCCTCAGCATTTAGGAGATAAACTGGGTCCTTTAGGCTTCAATACTCCTTTCTGCAACTGGGTTCTTGATTTTGCTCACTGTTAGACCCCAGTATGTGTGAGTTGGGATTAATATTTTAACACCGTATTCTTGAGCACAGGTTCTCTTCAGAAATGTGTTCTAAGTCTGCTATTATTCACCCTGTTGACCCACAACTGTTGTGCAAGATTTGCTACCAACCATATTGTGAAGTATGCAGATGATACAACAGGTTCCACCACAAAACCGCAGTAGACTAAAGCGCGCTCGCCGAAAGCACGTACCTGACGTCATCACAGCGCGATGAAAACAGCACGCTGTGAGCGGTAAAGTTAAAATTAAAG